CCATGGAGATTCCTGTCTAACCTCGTCTGTCAGCCTGCCCATCACCATAGCAAATAAGAAGTTGCTCACAGCTCACCCCTGGTGAAGTCCCACCTCCACCTTGAATTGCTCTGTCACACCTACAGCATACCTCACCACTGTCTTACAGTCATCATACATGTCCTGCACCGCTCTAACATACTTCTCTGTCACCCCAGACTTCCTCATACAATACCACATTTCTTCTCTGGGCACCCTGTCATACACTTTCTCCAGATCTACAAAGACACGATGCAGTTCCCTCTGACCTTCTCTGTACTTCTCTATCAACATCCCGAAAGCGAATACTGCATCTGTCGTACTCTTTCTTTTTTTTTTTTGGCACGAATCCACACTTCTGCTCACAAATACTCACTTCTGCTCTTAGTCTAGCTTCAACTACTCTTTCGCATAGTTTCATTTTATGGTTCATCAACTTTATTCCTCTGTAGTTACTAATTCCTCTGTATGTCAGGCTGGCTAACTCTGCTCCCATTTTCATGCTTTGCACTTGATCACTTGAGTGCTACTTAGTCAAATAATTCAACAGGTTTCTCGTCTTGTCTTGTTTCGACTACGTCCCCATACACATCAGCTTCCTGTCGCCGTGGCGATACCACCAGGGTAGGAACTTCTCTTGTCAAAATAGCTTCATCTTCGGAAGTCATGGCTGCCCATCTGCTGCGCGTTTAGATATACGTTTCGTCAATTTGTTACCTTTACTGTATTTGTACTGCTGGTTCTTAAATGTACTGGCGGAATTATGTGTATTTCAACTTGCAAACCAAGGTTATTCAGAAAAGTCTGGTAAAGTTAGCAAAAGCTTGGCACATTTGGATTTGTCGGTGCAATGATGTAAGAATAATACAAATGTAAATTGAGGGGTTCGTTGTTTTTAGTGGATAGCTCTCCTGTACGAACGGCAAAAGGAGAAATTGAATCCTTTGATGCAGTTTTATTGAGAAGAAAAAAAAAAACCCGTCTGCACGCAGGACGTTCGAGAGCACAACCCTTTCTGCTACGAAAACACTTCCTCTTTCCTTCAGCCAATCAGACGCTCTCAACATAAACATGTTTAAGAAATTATCAAAGAGAATATAATTTAGGTCACTTTAACATCAAAGACAATACTGTAAAGTTCGAACACAAAATGATAAAAATTAACAATTTAACAAAAGCTTACATAAAATAACACAGTAAACTACTAAAAATCGAACAATAACGACTAATAAATACGCCTTATATGTAAACATAAATTTTCGGTTATGATGCTACATATGGCGTTAGCATAATTGCCACTTGCAAATGTGGCTGATGAAAACATGACACGAATGATTGTTTCTTTCATCCGATGGCTGCCGGCTAGTTATTAGCAATTAAAGTGCTCATGTTTTCCGTGGTCAGGCTGTGCAAACTCTGCCTAACGTTTCATGCTTTCCACTTGATCGCTTGAGTGCTCCTTGGTCAAATAATTCAACAGGTTTCTCTTATTGTCTTGTTTTGACAACATCCTATGCACAACAACTTCCTGTCGCTGTGGAGATTACCACCAGGGGAGGAACGTCTCTTGTCGAAATAGCTTCATCTTCGGAAGTCATGGCTGATCATCAGCTGTGCGTTTAGATGTACGCTTCGTCAATTTGGAGTAAACGTTCTGTGTATTGCCTCTGCTTTAATTTATTGGCGGATTCTGTTTATTTCAACTTGCAAATCACTGTTATTCGGAATGAGTCCAGTAAAGTTAACAATGGTTTGGCAGATTCAGAGTTGTCGGTCCAACAAACGTAGTAACTACGCATCATTGAAACACAATGCTTCTGTCTAGCCACAGTGATGCGTCGCGTTGCCTGCCCCTCACCCCACCTTCCATCCTTCACCATGAAAAGTCTTTGAGATCTTTTGCATGTCTTTTAAACGTACTCCATTTTTTTTTCAGGCTCAAGCCATGCTCCCTTTTAAGGAGTATCGTCAGAGCCTGCCGTTTTTTCTCCTCTCTTGTTTTCCTTTGACACGTTATCAGGGCGCTAAACAGCGAACCGCCAGACTTCCTGTTTTGTCTCCCCCTGTTGGTCATTCTTTTAGTTTTTTCTCTCTGGACGGGTTGGAACTGGGAAAGTTACATTTTGTGTTTTACATACTTGGCCAATAAATCTGATTCTGATCCATTGAACAGTAAATGCAGCAAACAAAAAGCAGCCAAGTACATGTAATGAAAATAATGTCTTGGTATTGAGTTGAAGATAAGAAATTTGCCACATGTCCTGGTTAAGACATGGTACATTTACAGATTCTTCTTACTGGGCGGAGGTCACGCACCGCTGGTGCTCTCACTCGAGGCTCCAAAGCAGAGGTGGGAAAGGTGAGGTGGATCAAACAATTTTTGAAACAAAAGTAAGTGTACTCTACTTTTGTAATTAAAATATTGCACTGTCACTTTGTGCTGTATGGTTTTTCCAATTTTCTAGCATGTTATGATCAACACATAGTAAAAGAAATAAAGATCTCTAATATATTGAAGGTGCTTTTATTCTATTAGAGGGTGCTTCAGCAGCGCGGAAAATAGTCTAGATATGCCTATGACACTCAAGAAAAATTTGTTGACATTTTTGTTGAGTTCGGGCTGACATATAACTTTTGGGTGTGGAATCCAAAATAGATCTGTTTTTTTGAGCTATAGAATCCGTTTTCTTAAAAATATTAAACGTGCGCATGTAAATGAGATACTAAGATGTAATAGAATCTTTGTAAACGAACCCCCCCCCCCCCCAGCATGAAACAAAATAGAATGTACAACCGTATGCCCACGATTCCAAGATTAAGAGAAAACACAGCACTGTTCCATCCATCCATCCATTTTCTGATCTGCTTATCCTCACCAAGGTCACGGGGCATGCTGGAGCCTATCTCAGCTGTCTTCGGGCAGTAGGCGGGGGACATCCTTAACCCGTTGCCAGCCAGTCGCAGATAAGGTCTATTCAGAGGTCCTGGAGAGAAGGGTCTGTCAGGAAGTCAAGTCTCAGATTCAGGAGGAGCAGTGTGGTTTTCGTCCCGGCCGTGGAACAGTGGACCAGCTCTACACCGTTGGCAGGGTCCTCGTAGGTATGTGGGAACTCGCCCAACCAGTCTACATGTGCTTTGTGGACTTGGAGAAAGTGTTCAACATGTCCCTCAGGGAGTTCTATGGAGGGTGCTTTGGGTGTATGGGGTGCTGAACCCCCTGATGCGGGCTGTTCGGTCCCTATACCACCGATAACACAGTTTGGCTCGCGTTGCCGGCAGTGATTCTGAATCGTTTTCGAGTGAGGTTTGGACTCGGCCAAGGCTGCCCTTTGTCACTGATTCTGTTCATGAACTTTATGGACAGCATTTCGAGGCGCAGCCGAGGCGTTGAGGGGGCTCTTTGGTGGCCTCGGTATTGCATCTCTGCTTTTTACAGATGATGTAGTGCTGTTGGCTTCTTCAAGTCGGGATCTCCAACTCTCACTGGAGCAGCCAGCCGAGTGTGAAGCGGCCGGGATGAAAATCAGCACATCCAAATGTGAAGCAATGGTCCTCAGTCAGAAAAGGGTTGGAGTGCCCTCTTCGCTTCGGGGATGACACCTTTCCCCAAGTGGACGAGTTTTGGTATCATGAGTTCATGAGTGAGGGCAGGAGGGAGCGTGAGATTGACAGGTGGATTGGTGCAGCGTCTGCTGTGATGCAGAGTTTGCATCGGTCTGTCGTGGGGAAGAAGGAGCAGAGCCAAAAGGCAAAACTCTCAATTTACCAGTTAATCTACATTCCTACCCTCACCTATGAAAGAACGAGATCCTGGATACAAGTGGCCGAAATGAGTTTCCTCCGCAGGGAGACCGGGCTCTCCCTTAGAGATAAACTGAGAAGCTCGGTCATCCAGGAGGAGCTCACAGTGGAGCCGCTTCTCCTCCACGTTGAGAGGAGCCAGATGAGGTGGCTCAGGCATTTGATTAGCCTGCCTCCTGGATGCCTCCTTGGTCAGGTGTTCCGGGCATGTCCCACCAGCAGGAGGCCCCGGAGTTCCCTACCCCTGTCTAAGATTGATGATACCTGGTGACTGGTTCAAGACACACACACACACGCACGCACGCACGCACGCACGCACGCACGCACGCACGCACGCACGCACGCACACACCCACACATACACACACACACACACACACACACACACAGAGCACTATGAGTAGTAACACGACAAGGGGCTACTGTATTGTACTTATTTGTCACAAGAGTGCAACACAAATTATCAAATGAAAGATTTATCCATTTATTCTTTACAAATTTCAGTTTTTATCAGTTGATTAAGTATTTGGTTGTCTGACAATTGGTGGTTGAGATCAGGCAATGTTTTGACTTCTAACATGGCGGTGTGTCACGACACGGGCAAACTATTGCGTGTGTTGCTTGGTCATCTTGAGTACACTACACACTGTAAGAGCAGTAGAACACACATGGCAATATTTTTATTGTCACGTGTGGGGTCCCTCTCATTTATACAATTGGTTAAGATGTTCAATATCTGTACACCAGGCTTTTGATAGATTTGATTGTCCCTACCTAGAATATGTGAAACATTGAGGTGACTCGTAAGTCAGTCAATCCCCACTTGTGAACATGATATTAGAAAACATGACATAGAAACATAAGACAAAACATAGACTGATTATAATTTATACAAGGATTTATTCATTGAAAATATTTAATATGGTAACGAATTAAGTGTCTTATTTACTGCCCTGTTACAAAAGAGTTTGATGCCAGAATTCATACCACAGTATGAAACATATTATTCATACAATTAAACCACTAACATTGTGATATACAGCCAATAAACATGTTTCTAACAAAAACAGTGGTTGGTTCCCCATCCTCCAAAAAGTGTTTCAAAAATATTGGGAAAAAAATCCTTGAATCGTTGAGTCTGCAGTAGTCGAAACATGAAAACGGGGTGGCCCACTTTATCCAGTTTGTTCTAGCTGATTTATTTCTCGGACTCCAATGAGTAGACATACTGTAATTTTACTAATTATATTTTCAATACATGTTATGAACAAAAAACAAGTCTTTATACCAAGTTGTACAAGCATTAGGTTATAATCCCGATTGAGCTGACTTTATGTACAGCTGCAGTAGTGCAAGATGCGCCAGGTTTTTTAAAACGGTGTACAGGTGTTCCTTGGTTGCTCTTCTGCTCCACTGGGTGCTCCACTGGATTCTCCGCCATCTGTACAATGCAAATCCTTTATGCTGTAAAGGCGAGATTTTTTTGTACGGCACATTTGATGTACAAGACAATTCCAAGTGCTTCACATAAAACATTAAAAGCATTCCAGAAAGATTTTTCTCAATAAGACATTGCAAAAATCATCACAATGCTTTCAGCCCTGATTTAAATGAATTGACAGGAATTCAGGGCAAGGAGCATCATACCTAAATGCTGCTTCACTCGATTTGGGACAGGTTCTGGAAATACACTTTAGACCTGTCCCAGATGACCTGAGGAGTCTGGATGCTTCAGAAGGTACTCATAAATTTTGCATGTATTTTGGTCCAAGACCATTGAGAGATGTATTGACCAGCAGCATGATTTTAAAATCTATTCTTTGACTCACAGGAAGCCAGTGTGATGTGGTCCAGTTTTCTCGTGTTTATAAGGACTGGTGGCAGCATTTTGGATCAGCTGCAGCCACCTGATTGATGTTTTTTTAAAAGACCTACAAAGACACATCACCGTCATCAAGCCTGTTGGAAATAAAAGCATGAACAAGATTTTCTGTCTTCTTGAGACAGAAAACTCTTAATTTGAGCTATGTTTTTCAAGTGGCAATAGGCAGATTTGGTTATTGCTTTTAAATGATTGTTAAATTCAGGTCTGAGTCAATAATTACACCAAGATTTCTCGCTTTGGTTTGTAACTTTCAATGACCCAGAGACAAGGTAAGCGTCTTGTTTGGACTGAGCTGGAGGAATTTTTAGTCCATCCACTCATTGTTTTGATAAATACACTTAATGAAAGTCAGGGACTATAGTCATGCGATGACACTGAAATGTAAAGTTGCGTGTCATTTGCCTTATAATAATGAGATGATGTCATGCTACATAATCTGAGCAAAAGGTAGCATTAGCAGTAGATATTAAATAGAAGTGGTGTGGTTGAAATGCATAGGTGAACATTTTACAAAATTTTGATGGTCCGTCATTTGTCATTTCTGATAACCTCTGCTCCAACTTTGTTAAAATTAGCATGGGCTGTTGGTCTAAATAATACACAGTAATGATCAGATAGGGCCACAATAGTCACGACAAACTCCAAAATATTAAAACCTTTGGAAATAATTCTATCCAACATTTGCCCATTAATACACCTAGAATCTGTTACATATTGAGAAAGCCCAATATTTTCCAGGCGGTTCAAGAGTTCTTAATGTTGGAATAAATGTAATTCTGTTATCCCATATTTACTCTCCGTGTAACTTTAAAACCTGTTTCAAAGTGATACCTCGCAAATACCTCATAAACAATGGGGTAGGTTGATAATGGGAGACTTGTCGGACCGGGAGAGCTCAGGCTGCTCCTGTTCTAGCTTTTAAGATAATATCTTGTTGTTAAGTTAATGGCTTCTGATCAAATTAACTGTTGCTTGTGAGAAAATAACATCAACCCCAGGACACCATGTGAGGGACATCCCAAGCTGTGTTCGCGGCTCACCGACCTCCAGCAGAAGCCGTCTGATCACCTCAGGAATGAACTGTGTGTTCTCATTGAAACTCTCCTTTACTGAAACTGTTGTGGAATGTGAAAATACTCCCCACACCCATTAGAAGATCGTGTATCAGGGACATCCTTCCAATAAATGCAAGGAGACAAACGCGGTCTCTTCAGAGTTGCCCCGGAACCTGTAACGGTTTACATGGCAGAGCCAGCTGGAGAGCTGCCCCGATCCATCCATCCATTTTCCAACACGCTTTATCCTCACAAGGGTTACGGGGTGTGCTGGACAATTTTGAGTGTTCAGTCAGCCTGCAGTGCATGTTTATGACCCAGAGAAAATCCACGCAGGCACGGGGGGAACATGCAAACTCCACACAGGAAGGCCGGAGCTGGAATCAAACCCACGACCTCTGCACTGTGAGGTCCACGCGGTAACCACTGGACCCACCGGGCCGCCGCCCACTAAAACACCATAGTCAAAATCAGTGCACGCAATTGACAATAATTTGGCAAAGTCATTAAAAAAAAAATCTGTGTTGTACTTGAGAGGTTTACAAATGTTGCTCGATAAAAGAATTTGGACTGAAGAGCAACATTCAAAAGAATCAAACTTTCCTTTACATATTTTCTCGCGTTGGAGGTTGTTATTAAACAAAATGGCTAGCCCCCCTCATTTCTTATGTATTCTGGCTTCTTTCATGAAATTGAAGTTGGGATGGGTTGACTCAATAAAAACTGCTGTCTGTCCTGACTAAGTTTCAGTTAAAAGCATAAAAAGTAAAAAGCACAATAAATACTATTGAAGTAATTTAGTATTTAACCTAATGCGAAGTCCAATAAATTCAGTGATTCATAGTTGGGACAAAAAAAGTGCTTTTAATCAGCACGGTCTTAATGCTCAACTCAACTAACCAAACTTGTTTTTGTGGATAGGTGCAATTTATTATTATTTTTTTGCAATAAAATGCAACTGTAAAAGTCATTTTGGTCAATAATCTGAGTTACTCGTGCTTTTAATCAGCAAGGTCTATAATGCTCAACTCCACAAACCATACTTGTTTTTGTGGATAGGTGCATTTTTTTATTATTTTTTTGCAATAAAATGCAACTGTAAAAGTCATTTTGGTCAATAATCTGAGTTACTCATGAATTACCTCGTGGGAGGACATTTTCCCTGAAGTATTGGCTAATGCTGATGTTGCCTGCTGGTCGATACTGTCCAACAACAATAACCTTGTTGCCATCTGTGGCCATCCCCACTCCAAGTTCGGTGCTTGTTTTCCACACAAGCTGAGTAAAATGACCTGGAAGAAGAAAGGGTAGAAAGGTTTACAAAGTACACTTATACAATCTGGTAGGATACACTGTCAAGACTTTCTCTATAAAATAACAGTAAATTACTAGCAGCATGAATGCCAGTATTTTACTGTTATTTCACAATGCATCTACTGTCATTAATTTTATTGGTGTTGTGGTGATTTTACACTGCATCTAATGTTATTTATTTTAACGGTATACTACTGTATTTTGGATTACACTAAATGACAGTAGGGTAGCTGTGTTGTGTTTTTACAGTGCATGCCAAACATAGGACTCAGATAGAGCAGGATTCGAACAGCCAAACCTTCTGTCACAGGAGGACCCACTCTGCCACTTGAGCCACAACCGCTCTGTTGGTTGATGGGTCTTGTATTTTACTTAATATGTGTACCTTCTCTTGCTTAAACCTACATTACAAACGGTATGAACACATCCAGTAACATACCATACGATTCGGCTGTCTGTATCAACTGAAAAAAAGCATCCTGTATGGGTGTCGAACTCAAGGCCTGGGGGCCAGATCTGGCCCGCCACATCATTTTATGTGGCCCGCGAAAGCAAATCAAAGATGGCAACTTTCATGATGCTTGCTAAAATCTCGACCAACATTTCAAATCCTCATTTGTAATAAATAAGAGTGATACTATAAGCATTTTCTTGTTACCAAACTTCTCATTACAGTAACTTAAACAATAGGTGTATAAACCGTTATTGTTGACTTCTTTATTTGGTTTCACTCATAATGGCCCTCCAAGGAAAACGGTAACTAAAATGTGGCCCACAACTAAAATGAGTTTGACACCCCTGCGTTAAGGTGTACCTCCGACGGCCCATTTGGAGGCATTGATGGGGATTGATGACAACTGGTGTTCCCATTTTTGTGTCTACATTGGGTTGTAGTCGCTAAAACAAGGTACTGTGGTTAATTTTAATGCAGGGCAATTAACAAAGAAGTGGAATGTATTTGCTGTCGATCTCCAGTGTTTGAGAGACAATACTCTTTATACTGTTAAATTACAGTTTGTTATTCTTAACCAAGCATTCACTGTTAATTTACATGCAGATTAATATTTAATGGTATTTCACATAAAAAAATACAGTAAGATTATAACATCAGTAATTTACAGAAATCCATAGTTTTATGCTGTTAATTATCTACTGTTCTTGTGAACTGACAGATTCACATGCTATGGATGAATATTTTACGGTATTTTACAATCATTAAAAATCCAGTTTTATGCTGTTAATTATCTACTGTTCTTGTTAACTGACAGATTCACATGCTATGGATGAATATTTTACGGTATTTTACAATCATTATAAAAACAGTCATGAATTCACCATAAATTTCCATAAATTCATTAGCGTGTACAATTGGAAAAAGAAGTAAGAGGTACTGTTTGTCAAAAACTGACTCTACGAACATGATGATGCGCAGTAAGCAGATATTAAGAGTTTTTTTTTTGTTTCATTATTGTATACAGACACACACACACACACACACACACACACACACACACACATACACACACACAC